CAATTCTTGGGGGAACGTTCGGTAACTTTCGACCTCTATCATTGACTACTTTGGCTTGCGTCAGTCTTTATAGAGACTTGTATTATTACTTGGAACGCGCCCTATCGGCAACTTGTAAACGCTATAATGTTAATAAACAACCTCGCAATCCTTCGGGGTACTTTCGGTAACTTTTGACCACTATCGTTGACTACTTCGAGTTGCTTCAATCTTCCTAGAGAGTTATACCATTACTTGGAACACGCGCTATCGCCAACTTGTGAACGCTGTAATGTTAATGAACACCGTCGCTATCCTTCCGGGTACTTTCGGTAACTTTCAACTACTATCGTTGACTACTTCGACTTGCGTCAATCTTCATAGAGACTTATACCATTACTTGGAACGCGCGCTATCGCGAACTTGTGAACACTATAATGTTAATGAACACCCTCGCAATCCTTCGGGGATTTTTCGGTAACTTTCGACCGCTATCATTGACTACTTTGGCTTGCGTCAGTCTTCATAGAGACTTGTACCATTACTTGGAACGCGCGCTATCTCCAACTTGTGAACTCTATGATGTTAATGAACACCCTCGCAATCCTTCGGGGTAGTTTCGGTAACTTTCGACCACTATCATTGAGTACTTTGGCTTGCGTCAGTCTTCATAGAGACTTATACCATTTCTTGGAACGCGCGCTATCGCCAACGTGTGAACGCTATAATGTTAATGAGCACCCTTGCAATCCTTTGGGGTTCTTTTGGTAGCTTTCGACCAATATCGTTCACTACTTCGGATTGCGTTAATCTTTATTGTAAAGTTAGTACTGATTACTTTGAACACGCGCTATAGCAAACACTTAAATGTCTTTGCGAGCTTCGCGCAAAACAGACCTGCTGTAAATCTAAAAAGGGCCTCTAGCTGTCACGATGATGTTGTAAACCAAATTTATACCGACTTGTTTAATGGTGTATCTTCTTTTTAACACTATGTATTTACATGAATGTTTTTGCGCTCTTGTTAACCTTCCGTTTCCGTTATCAATTATTTTAGGCTTTTTTATGTATAGAGTGCTTCAGTAACCTTTATTTCCATGACTAATACGCTTTCGATCGCGCGATTGCATACACTTGTCGAACATGCATCAACTTCGTTAACTTACTGTTACCCGATCTTGTAACTTTTCATTCTCGGTCCTCAACTGTGGTCTTGGTTGCCTTGAGGGTAGAGGGTAGAGATTTGCTTTGCGTTTAACGTGAATGAGATTTGGTTAATGTATATAGCGTTATACATAATAAGCCCAATATGTAATGTAAAGGAGTTGTTAACGGATAAGCCACATAAAGAATGTGGAATAGTCGGTTGTAAGCTATTGATTCTAAAATTTATACCAAGCTGCAACTGTTGAGTTAATAAAGGCATTGACTTTGAAAGAAACTGTACTGATAAACCGGTGGGAAAATTAAATAAAAATTGTTTTAATTTGACATTAAGCTTGTAAAAATAATTTTACCACAGTAATGAGAATTAAAAGCTTGCGTCTCGAGCGCTATCCATTTTGTGCCCGCAGGTGTCTAAGAGAAAAAAAATGAAACTGAGAGAGCTGAGAAATAGATGGTTCACTCGATTGAAGTTTATTGTTCTGGTTTGTTTTCGAACCCCAATGGGTTTATGCGGTTTTAATTCAATAGCTCCTCTAGATCTCGTTACTATCGAATTTCGCGTCCGCTCACTGGCGTCTTCTTCGGATTCATGTTCGCTCCGAAACCAGATCCAGTTCGCCTCGAAAGCAATGCAAGCGCATGGAATTCTTATGACATGCAGTTACAATATTTTAATATTAACTCCCAACGGTTTAACTCCAGATTAGGCAGCTGGCAATCAGCATCTTGCCTTTTTGTCGTTGTTAAAGTATCATTGCTTCTCTCAGTCTTCTTATTTCCTTATTTCCTTGGAAATCATCCTAAACAATGCACGTTCTTTAGGGGGGAGGTAAGGAGGAGGTTTTTGATAAACGCTGTCTGAAGTGTTTAGCTGAGTATCTTCAAAAATTAACATCATTTTAAATTTATTGCAAAGTAGATATAACTCGGTTGAGTTGACAACCTGTATTTAATATTATCTATCCAATACTGTATATTTAACAATTCCTGTCTTAAATTGTAATAAAATTAAAATCGTAATAAGTGTGTTAGCCTAAGTAATACTTTGTCTAATAATGTATTAGTTTGTGTAATGGATACTACATGATCTGATGTAATGGCAGTGCTTTGAATATAGTTCGTGCAAGCAAATATGAACCTGAGTTTCAGATAAAGATAATTAAACCAAATATCTTCTGCTACTTTTGAATTTGTCACCCCTGTTCTGGTTGCCTTCATTCAATTTTATCTGGGAAACCCGAGAATAACTGGAAAAAACTGCCCTATTGCACTGGTGGCGTAAAAACTGAACATGCTGGTTTTACTTTGTCCTCTCGGGTAGTCTCTAGACATTTAAATTTTGAATACGCAGCCTCCACGTCGTCTGTGCAAGCCTCAGAGATACGAGGAATTATACGCCCCCTTTTCAAAAAAGCGCACAACTTCGAATCCCCCACAATTTAACACCACGCCTTGTCCTTATTCTAACACAAAGGCATTCACAACTGTGGAAAATAAACCATTAGGGGACGTCACGCGATCGGATGTTAAGGACGTGGTCGCGAATAACAATACTAAACAATTATTCACCGAAGTGGTACCGAGAAGGAAAGTGGTACGACTCACAACGAGGTTTTATACATTTCCAACTTGCTGACAGACTGCTAATTAACTCATAACACTTGCGACATCTGCCATGGTTTTCAGTTCAGGCAGCCATACTCTTACTGTATTCTTGTCCAAATACACTCTTTTTTTTTTTATAAGAATATATTTTATAAGAATATCGAGGCTGAAATTTGCGAAATTTTAAGAATATTTTAAGAATAAAGCCAAGGCTGAGATTTTGAAAAGGATAGATATAATTTTTTGTGTTGAAACATCTGTAAATGCAATACAATTTTATGTTTTTAACTTAACCGTATAAAATTATTCCTTTCTCTGAACGTCGAAACTAGCCAACAAAACGAAAAAACCTGCACTAGCTATAGCAAAATGTTGTTCAACGCTAATGACAGTTCGATGAACGGTACATGTAATACATATACATATACTCCAATAAATTCTAAAACGGAAATGTCATAAGCTATAATTTAAGAATAATACAAGAACATTTTCAGCCTAAAATCGGCAGAAAAATAAGAATATTCAGCCTGGGCCGGAAAAACAACATTCTTATAAAAAAAAAGAGTGTAAATATTTTCTTCGGCTGGTGAACACTTAGAGTTGACACTGATGAAGTCAGTTTGAGGTCGCCTTATTCCCTTTAGTAGACAGCGCCATATCCTCCACATACACACTTAAGAAAGCGGTCAAAAATAGGGTGCTTTCCCATGGGGAAAATTGTAATAGAGGGCAATCAATATCACCGTAGAATACCACGTCTTAATATCGTATATAATCGACTCTCTAGAAACTCCTGGCTCGGATACTTCTTTTGCCGCTTGTTTGCCCGCGCTTTGCTCGCGGCTTCACCGCTCATTTACGCAAGAGAAGAGACCACCAGCTACACCAACTACACGTCAATTTATATCAGGTTTATTACTTCATCTGACTCTTGCTGGTAGCTAAGAAGCAGTCTATTTCGAATCGATCTCTCTGACCTTTCTTTTCCGCGCCTTATTTATCCCTGGGTCTTCAGTGCTGAGCTCCTTTACCGAGGGTATTCAGCCACATGTAGGGCCCCTGGCTAAACTTCGTCGCTTATGACTCCACAAAATCTCTTGATTTTTCTAACCTAAGACGCCTGATTTTGCCGAAAGAAGTTGTTCAAGAGGAAAATCTTTTTTTGCTTTTATAAAGAGATATATTATCTTTTACTTCACGGAATAACGAATCAATCGATCATTTGCGTTCTAATCAGGGGCGTAGCCAGGATTTTTCCAGAGGTACGCACATTTTTCTGCTTTCTCCCCCCCCCTTACCCATCCCACCACCACCTCAAAAACCCAAATATTTTTAATTCCTTGATTAGAGATAAGGTTACGTTGTAAGCCTAACCGTTTTTTTCTGTATATGAAATGACGGGTGTGAAATTCTTTGTCGCCTTATTGGGTTTATTGACTTAAAGTTCTTAAGTTGGTATCTCCGATTTTTGTTTGCAAATAACTGATTTTTTGTACCACTTTGTTTTTGCGCAATACGTTGACGTAATGGTGTCCTATACTTCGACTACTGCGAAGACAGGCCGAGCTTGCTATCTGCGAGGTATTTTCCCGCCTTTTCTCTACATATACCATTCTTGAGTCAATCCAAAAATGAAGCATTCCTTTGTTTTAGAAAAATATTTTCAACCGCTAAGCAACAAGCAGATTTAAATGAATAAAGGGAAACTTTGCTTTTTAAAATAATTATCATTTGATTTTGTTATTACTCACTTTTTTGATAATCAAAGCGCGAGTGTGCAGAAGATAATAAAAAAATAATGATCAAAAGGTCCGGGGTCAGCGTTTTTAAAGATGGTACTTGTCGGCCATTTTCACAGACTGCCTCCACAGACTGCTTTTCAATGACACCATTCGCTAAAGAGTTCCAGTCTGTGTTTGTACGTGCAATGAAACTGTGTTGGTCCTGGTTTTGGCACTCACTTGACGAATTTCGTAGGATAGAATTGCCTAGTGCCCTGTCGCCTTTTAAATAATATATAGGGTACCACAAACTGACAAAATATTCAGAAATTGTAACTTTGAATTTTGGAAGTTACGTCACGTCAAGGAAGTTTAACATATTGTTTTGTAATGGGAGCGTACTTTATGGCCTGTATTACTAACCGAGCGGTATGTGGACGAGAATATTCCCCGAGGCAATATCATAAAAATGCTTTGTAACTATTTTTAATTTACTCATTTATTTATTTATTTTTTTGTTTTGTTTTTCCAAGAACTCTACTAGGATAATCACACCTGAATTAAACTTAACCATGTTACTTTTAAAGACCAGACGACACGATTAAAGATACAATCTTCATTTTTACTGGTCTATGAAGCATCACCCGAGTGACGGAAACCTGTCAATCCTTGCTTGACGTGATTTTAGTGAACAATGATCACCGCATCAATGACTCCGGTGTTGTTCCTGTTTCGCTGAGTGATCACTACCTCGTCTATTGTGTTTTAAAAGCAGGTGTAATTAAGGCACCACCGAAGACAATTGAATACCGCTCTTATAAAAACTTTGATGCGAACACCTTCCTAGCGGACTTGAATAACGTCCCATGGCACATCATTGAAAACGAGGAAGACATCGACGACGCCGTGTTTATTTGGAATCACTTGTTTTCTGAAATAGCTGACCTGCATGCGCCCGTGAAAAGGCGAAGAATACGAGGTGTTCTGCTCCCGTGGTTGAATGATACAATCAGTGAGGTGATGAAGGATCGTGATTTTCACCATCGTAAAGCCGTGAAAACCAATTCTGCTTTTCACTGGGCTCGCTATAGAAAGTTAAGAAATAGGGTCAATCGTGAAGTCAAGGCAGCAAAATCCAAGTATTATTGTGACTTGATTTTAGAGGCTAAAGGGATTCAGGAAAGATCTGGAAGGCGGTGAATGAGGTGTCTTCGCGCAAGACTAAATCCTCGAGCCCACAATGTATCGTAGTTGATGGTGTTGAACACACCACCCCAGCCTCTATTGCATCCGTGCTCAACTGTTATTTCTCATCCATTGGCAGAAGTCTTGCAAATAAAATATCAGCTGCTGCTATGTTCCCAGTCAGATCGGCCACGATGCTACAGTCTTTCTCGCTTGACGAAGTTGATGAGAAAACAGTACTCAAGCATCTGCTTTCTCTAAAGACAAATAAAGCTATTGGCTTGGACAACATCAGTGCGAGACTTTTTAAAGTGTGGCGCGCGTGCTATTTGTCCCTCGATCACCAAGTTACTGAATCTCTCTATTCGCACTGGCAATTTTCCTGAAATATGGAAATGCTCGAAAGTGGCTGCACTTTTCAAAACTGGAGATAGGAGAGATGCGTCAAATTATCGCCCAATTTCTATTCTGCCAACAATGAGTAAAATTCTGGAAAAAGTCGTCCATTCCCAATTCTATGACTTTCTGAATTCAAATAATTTCCTTTCAAGCAAACAATTTGGCTTCCGTCCCAAACTGTCTACAACATCGGCTCTCACCAGTTTTGCAGATGAGGTCCTATTGCATATGGAGAGTGGAGAACTGTGCGGTGCAGTGTTCCTAGATCTGACCAAGGCATTCGATACCGTTGACCATACGATCTTGCTATCTAAATTGTCGGCTATCGATGTCTCGCCCAGCACTCTACAGTGGTTCAAGTCTTACCTGAATCATCGTAAACAGCGGACTGCCTGTAGCGATGCTGTGTCTGACCCTCTCCCGATGACCTTTGGGGTGCCACAGGGGAGCATTCTAGGACCGCTTCTCTTCTTGGTTTATATTAATGACCTTCCGCTGGTTATAAAGAATTGCGAAGTGACTTTGTATGCTGATGACACGGTCCTGTACTACTTTGCTAAAGAGCCACACCTGTTAGAAGAGGCACTGAATGATGATCTCTTGAAAGTTGCCCAGTGGTTACATGGAAATAAGTTAACTTTAAATCTTACTAAGACGAAATCCATGATTATAGGCAGTAATAGGAAACTTGTTGGTATTTCCTCTTTCACGTTATCTATTTTTGACACTGATATAAATTCTGTAAGTAGTTTTAAATATTTGGGAGTTATGTTGTCTTCAACTTTCACATGGTCCGACCATATTGAGTATATTTCATGTAAGGTTAATAAAAACCTTGGTCTTCTACGTAGGATTAAGTATTATTTACCTTATGATGCCCGGTTACTTTTTTTTATAATAGCTTAGTGCTACCTATTTTTGATTATGCTGATTTAGTCTGGGGTGACAAGGACAATGTCTCACTTATGAAGGAATTGCAAATTCTCCAAAACAAAGCAGCTAAGTTGATATTAGATAGATCACCTCACTCCTCATCCACCGATGCATTGATTGTCTTGAGATGGCTGAATCTTGAAGAACGTAGGAAATGTCATCGATGTATATATGCATACAAGTGTATTAATGGCCAACTTAATCATTCTTTGGACATTGTAAGAAAGAGTGATATACATTCCTACAATACGCGCAATAACGATACTATCAAGCTCCCCAAAATTAAATATAATTGGGGAAAACAACGTTCGCGGTACCACTGTTTCAAAGACTTTAATGAATTAGAGAGAACTGTAAGAAACTCAGCAAGTTTTCAAATTTTTAAGAAGTGTTTTTTTTTTTTTTTTTATAATTGAGTACTTGTAGTGTGTATGTTTTAATTATTTCTGTAACTCGATTTTAGCTTGATTTTTTTTTTTTTTTTTTTTTTTTTTTTTGTATCATATATATCGATTTTAGCTTAACCTTTTTATATTTTAATTGTATTATATAATATACATCTCGTAATTAGGACCTCTATGTAAACCACTCTTGTGATGGAGCATCCTATTAAAAGATTGTTATTATTATTATTATTATGATGAAAGGGCAAAGTCTTGGACTGTCTTATAAACTGCTCAACGTTTGAGAAGAATTCCGACGTTTTTATAATTGTCTGATAGATAATAGCTAAGAAGAGCCAATTTAGAAAAGATCTACTTTTTAGATTCAACCAATCGTTAGGATGAACAATTAGAGCAGCAGCCGACTTAAGGCCATTAAAGAAATATGGACTTTTACCTAGACTGAGATAACAGCCGACATTTGGCGACGCTACCACTGGCCATTTCCCCGCCAAATGACGTCTGAGAAACGAGCACAGAAAATCCATACTGTCACGTGTCACTACTCAGATCTGGGTAGAGATTCTGATTGGTTGAATCAAATTTCCCACGCGGCATGACCAATCAGAAGCACTACCCAGATCTGCGCCGTGACGCGTCATCAGTATGGAATTTCTGCGCTCGTTTCTCAGACGTCATTTGGCGGGGAAGCCAATGGTAGCGTCGCCAAATGTCTCCTGTTTTCTCAAACTTACTTTTACCTTCTTACTTTCTATGTATAACCATCTTAAAGATACATTTTTTCGTGAGGCACAAACAACAAACTTTAAAACGTTTCAGCTAGGCAGCTGCGTTGATTACGTCTATAAACTAGTCAAGGACCTGATAACAAGACATAGAAAATGCAATTTATAACTAACAGAAGCGACCTTTTAAGATCAATTCGTTAATAGTGTCTATGGGGGTTCATTGACTTTAACAGACAGTGGGGAGCTTAAGCAACGATGACGACGACTACGACGATGGCGAAAACGTCCATTAAAGTTGAAGTTAATTTACACTGTTTTAAAATTCAATCGCTCTTATTCCTCGTCGTTCAATCTGTCAAATATTGGTGAATTTTTTCTGAGGTTAAATACTAAAGGCTGAATCAAACTTCAAAAAAGAGAAGGAAATCGTTTTCCGGTGTTCACGTCCTCCACAAAACGTAGAAATTGGGCGATTTCAGGTCGTGGTCGTGCAAGGACGGAAAAGAAACGTACAAAAAAGGGTGATTCACGTACAAAAGTGTTGCTTGCTTATCTATTGCTTTTTTGCCGTTTTCGTTGCCGTCGTCATCCCCAGCGTTGCTTAAGCTCCCTATATTTAGTACTAGTAATATATCAAAAACCCCTTTGGATCTTGATTGCCCTATACGTAATGCCTGCTGCCTTCAAAATTCAACTGAATGCCAGGTTTCTTTTCTTTACTCTTGGAAGCAGTTCTCTTGGAAGGTTTTAAGATAACGGAACATCCTTCTTTGTCGGGTTTCTTAACGCACTCGACATAATTATTGATGTGCTCCTCAAGGAAAGCAAGGGGTGACGATCCTTGAGACAGAACCTACAAATATTAGGCGACAAAGGTCACTTTGGAATTGTCAAAATTCCAGGCCGAATTGAGACGGGAAATAAAAGGAAAGAAATGAATTTTTCTTTCATGAATCTCAATGCGATTTCTTTTTCCTCAGCCTGTGTAGCTGGCGGAATTGTTCTTGCGCAGGTGAGAGAAGTCGCCATTCTCGCGGCTTTCCCGCCGAGGGCTCGAGAAAGGCATCTACTCCCCATTCTCCCCACGACATCGCAACTCCTCTACCAAAACTTTTCTCAGGCTAACGATCTAGTCTGAAATGTCAGGGTATCCTGCCGGCTACACAGGATTCTTCAGCCTCGGAGCCAAGTATGGATTTTAATAATTCAAAATTGGCCTATTTCTCAGAACTGATATCATGCATACTTCATGAACTATTGTTCATTGTGAGAGCAGAATCGATAGCTTTGGTCTAAGATCCCCTGATGCCATCTAAATTTAAGGTGACGTATAGCAGAGGCTAAATACCTGCTGTATAGTTTCATCATTTGAGTTGATAAGGTGAATTTATCCATCCGTCATTTAAAAGCTTACGCGAGTGTAGCCTGGAAACGCTTTAGACGTGAATATTATATTGTCTAAGCCAAAGTTACTATACCTGGTAATGGAAATCCTTGAGGCTGAATTGTTTACCCAATTCTTTGGTTGCATGCTTTCTGGAGTGTAGAATTCCTAGCCTACCAACCATGTAGGCTGTTGCCTGTCCCGGCCAGCCCTGGTAACGAGTTACCTGTTAAAAAAAGATAAAGGGATGAGCGTACAGTTTTCAGAGTGATCTCTTGGTGCAGTGAGGGGACAAAAACAAAAACAAAAACAAAAACAAAACAAAAGAACAAGCTGTGGAAATCCAGCAAGGAGGATCTTGGGATTGACTTAAGTGGTTTTAAATTTGAAAAGAAGTAGCAGGATGTAACAAACCATGCAAAAAAGAAGGCTCTCCAGCGAGGAATAGAACCCCTGGTAAATCTGTACGCTCGGTGAAAGTGTCCATGGCCGCGCCCTTCTTCACCACTGCTGTAGATTTGGTGGTCGAAAATGGACATGAGAAGTTCACGGTTTGCTGTCCGCAAATAGCAATTCGAATGCCAGCCAAATACAGGCATTTACTTTTGCCATTATAAATAAACCTAAGACTTCGTGATCATCGTAGTCATCGTCAATCTAACATGTTTTTTTTTATTAGGGTCACGATCTTTAAATTCACTATTATACATCCCTGATCCTTGTAGTCGTCATGGCAGTTACTGTGATCATCATTATCATCATTATCACCACCACCACCACCACCACCATCACTATCTTAATCGTCATCATCATCATCATTGTGTTCCTACCTCTTTATCAGTGAAGTCAGTGTTATCCCAAGCTTTATTCCTAAACATATTGATAGCTTCGTCTCTCTTCATTCCCTTATAGTGCAGTCCTGTGTCCACAATGAGCCTCACGGCCCGCCAGATCTAGATAATAGAAAAAAAGGAATAGACTATTTTTCTCCCTGGAAGCGACTCGCACTATTTTTGGCGCGAACCTGGCTACATTGAAACTATAGAGAGGCCTGTCTTAGCATGGAATCGGTTCTCAAATCCCCAGGCACTGTCACCTGGCTGACAGTAGAAATGGATGATTCTATACATTTATCCGTGTATTTTATTCATATTTAGACATTTGACTTTAATTCAGCTTCTATAGGAATCAATTAACAAATTAAAGAAAAAGAAATACAATTGTGGAAGCAATTTGTCTCCTGGCTAAGACCAAGGCTTTGCGGCAAGGAGCCAAGAATAGCCTTAATTTTGTAGGAACTGTCGAGGGACGCAGAATGCAAACAGCCATGCAGGCTGCTATGCTGCAACAAAACTGAGGTGTCGTTTTAAAGTTATACTTGCCTGCCATTTCAGCATTCCGTATTTCCTCATTGGTTCTTCATCATATACATCCGTGTCATTTGATATCAGGGGATTTTCAGCGTACAGAGCCCAGCCTTCAGTGAAGGCTGTGTAGTATGAGATGGAATCTAACCAACCAATCACACCGCCACAAGTGTCTTGGAAATGCTCCAGACTCCCTTGTCTCTAAATTGAATAATTGTAAGTGTTTGGCTTTAAGTACTGATTGGGCTGATTGGCCAACATAAATTCACTTAGTCTCCTAACAATAATAATAATATAAGATTAAGAGAAAAGGTAATGTCTATCAATAAAATGATCACCTAGCTAATAATTTGACCATTAAGCAAATTCTCTTAATTGACTCTTTAATTAATTAATTAATTAATTAATTAATTGATTAATCAATTAATTAATTGATTGAATTGATTCAATTTGATTGATTAATTGATTCTTGTATGGAGATGAGTCTGGAGAATTTGGATGTCCGCGATATTTAGGCTGCCTGAAGGTCCAGGTTACCACCGACGGAATCTCTGGTCTCTGAAAGCAGTATTTTTTTTTCATACATTTCTGAGCATTGAGAAAGCAAAGGGCGCACTGCTCTAAGTTAGAAGACTTTGGGGAATGTGACAGTTAGTCATTTTTCATTGCGACGCGCTCTGTGGTCATAAACCATATTGTTTATTGAAAACAGTGGACCGCATTAACTTTGTAGCTGTTTATATGGTAACATTATTGCTCCAGGTGTGTGACAGAGCACCATTCGGAGAGACATTCATCCAGAAAGAGAGCCTGTTATAAAACTGAAAACACTTCACGAAGTAGTGTGGAATAATCGATGAAACCAAATGCCTTACCACAATTGGGGTTGGGGGACATTTCATGATGTATCATGAGCATGCAATTCTAGGTGTTTTTAACCACGAAAAGGAAATATCCATTTAATTCATGAGTTATACCACCGACTAATCAGGCCTTTTTAGAAGTTATTTCTTAGGATTTCGCTCAGTACCTGCAGATGATGTCCCGGTCGAGCTTCGTGTGCTCCTATGGTCCACTCGGAAGACTTAGGGCCTAGCTTGCTCAAGAAGAACGGAATGTTATAATACGCAGTCGTCAAACACATCGGATCGCTTCGTTGGTAGCTCTGAGCGGCGTTGGAGGGGTTAAAGTCTGGCCTTAAGTCAATTGGGCAGTTTGGTGTCGAGTGCTTGTCCCCAGCGAAGTAAAACATGTCAACTATTTTGGGGTATAGCAAGCTCATTGCCTGAAAAAGAACAGATTTGAACAATGAAAACCAAAATCTACTTATCGCTGCTTTCCAGATCAGAATTTTCTAAGGTTAAGTGTCCGATCCAAAATAGTCCGCAGCAATCGGAACTGCCTAAACGGTTGTCATATTTAACGGTCAATGCCACCACTGGAAACCAAGCCTTAGGTCATGATAGATGTAATATATTCTCTGGATCAAGTTAAGTTACAAGGTGAGGCAAATAATAGGTTTTTGAGTTGTCTTAAAAACACCGACGTTGAAGTTTAGGAGAGAGATTAGAATACGAAAAGCCCGGGTTCGACCGTGGGTAGCAATTTTCTTTCTTTTTAATAGTAACACTCACTAATAGGTCAAAAATTGTCTAAGTGTCTTAAAAATGGCAGCCACCATTCACGAAAGGGCCAACTGCATCGGAGCCTGAGGGGCGACATTATTTGAGCCAACGGTCAGACAGAGTTATAGATGCAACAAGAACTGTTATTTTAAGGTAGGATTTCCAGCTGATCGCAAGCTATCACAAATTAACGTCAATTTTTTCCTCTCTTTGTAAAAGTTTTGATTTAGGACTGGAACAATAAGCATAGTGGGATATTTCGGCTGCACTAAAATTGAAAAAAATGGCGACTGCTCTGTGTTGAAAAGGAGATCGTGTAGCCAAGGAAACAGCGCTTGCAACTTTTACCATTCTAGCCTCATTAAACCATCCTTGAATGGCCTTCCATCTCATGGGACAATATTTCTTGGCTCCCTCAATAGTGCTGCATCGCGCATGCGCCTGGGCATCTGACTCATTTGGAGGAAAAGGTACTTTATTAAAGTAATTATCCGGTGAATCCAGCAACTCCCGGAATTCCCTAATGGCTTCTGTTTCATTGCTTTTGCCAGTAACATTCTTTGCTGCTTCCACTGCCTAGGGAAGAACAGGAGAAAAAATACATAGTTACAACTGTTAACTTGAACCACTAGTAAATTGCGCATGCATAACCAGAGTAATAGACCTTTTTACGATACGGCGGCCAGATTGAATTAGTTAGATTTAACGAGCATTATGGGATGCTCAGTATTTACCCACGCCTTTTGGGCCAATTTGCCTTTAAATTTTCCTAGAAAAAGTTTGTAATGGGAAAAAAAAGATCGTTGTGCTGTGTTTGGATGTAATAATGATCGCCTATTTCCCGAGAAATATACAGTGAAGTTCTCTTTTTGCCCGAAAAGCGCGTGTAAACACTGAGCGAGTGCCTCCCTGGGCATACCACGGATAATACTCCTAAAATCTAATAACTTCAATATGGCCGCCGTATCGGTAAAAAGGTCTGTTATCCTAGCTTTCACAAATCAGACAAGTGACTTAGGCAATGCACGCGTAGGACAACTCGTAGATGAAGTTACAAATGAATGATGTGTTCCATGTAACGAACCCTCGATAAAACGAACAAATTTCCCCAGTCCCCCGGCACTTTGTTAAATCGAGGTTCCACTGTACTTGTATAACTTTTACATTTACAGCAAGAAATAATCAACAAATTGCATATATAAATATCTTCATCTCGTGCTCACCTGTGGATAAAGCTTTTTCAACTGCTCTTTTCCTAATTTGTTGACATCATCCGGCGTCATTTCATTAGTAGTGAAATATGCCATTATCTCGGAGTACGCCATTTTACCATCCAACATTTCACCAGTCGGTAGCTTTTTGTTGGTAGGCCAAGACTTATTTTCTTTGCCATCAACCCAGACATGATTCAATGGTAGGGTGGCTAATCCGCTGGACACGTTACTTGGAACACAATGACGCTGATGATCTTGCTCAAGATATCTGTGAAAATAGTGATAACTTTTGCTCATTGAAAAAATTCAGAACTAAGAACTTGTTCAATCATATGAACGACGCAAATGCAACCGTAAGAGAAGCACAAGCAGAAGCCATCCCACGTGTCTTGAGCTAGGACAAGCAACGACGCAGAAAAAGGAAAATTTTCTATTTTTTGGCGTCGGCGCTTGGACCTGCGTTTGAGCTTGAATTCGCATTGCACAGCTGATGTGAAATGGGACAACGCGAAAACAAGGGCGTAGCCGTGATGGTTTAGAGCCCAAAGTCGTCAGCTCCAGGCAATATACTCTTTCTTTACGAAAACACTTCCGAATTGGAAAGTTGCTGCTGTCAGGTATCTTGTTTGCTAGCGAAATATGTACTGACTAAAAAATTGTATACATGCATGTTTAAATAACCGAATCGCCAACTGAGTTTCTGGTCTTCAAGCTCATTAGAGAGGTTGGCTGGTCAGAGGTTTGATTATTGGGGCCGAACTTTTTTTTTCGCTGCATTATATTTAATCTTGCAAGCTGAGTTTTCTCCCGGAGAGGTGGGAGGGGGTAAATAGAGCTGAAAGAAATACCGTACTACCTGAGTAGCTGACTCATAGGTTTTCCGAAATATTCCACGAGATAATCGTCTAAAGATTCCTTGACAGATTTACCACCATGTTCCTTTTTCCATGTTGTATTCATTTCTTTTGTTATGTTGGAGAAGTAACCTTCGTCGAGGACTTTTCGTAAGTACTCTTCTTCTAAGACACCTTTGAAAAACAAAATGCCATGAAATTTGGACGCATTTTAATTTTATATTATACCGGGTCAGAGAGAGATGAATTTTGCATAGTCATTAAAAACACCATGTGTTCCAGACGGATCAGTGTTTTCGATTTCCATTCATAGGTTTAACCCATTTGCTCTTGGATACTTTTTCCTAACAACGCCAATTGAAGCCATCCCATAATTGAAGTCTAGCACTACGTTGGCTTAGCTTTGATTCCTGGTGCAATAAAGGAAATGCCTTCTTTCCTCCTCGTATCATTCTCGTATGTAAATTTCCTTTTGAGTATCTCTAGTTTTATTTGCCCGAATCGCGTGCATGATTAAAAAAAAGCCACTTCCTTGTTGAACATTACAACTGATGACGTCACAAGTGGTACAAAGAAATTGGTCAGTTCTGCCCGAGCGATCACGGGTGAAATTCTTTGGTCTTAATATAACTTATAGAAAGAAAAAAAGACGCAATATACAGCTGAGATTTCAAGTTTTAAAGGGCTTATTGTTTACACTTCTACTTTCCTTAAAAACTCCTGTAGGATTATATTAGCTCCCCATAATTGCAAAACAACCCGCAGCACGGCTAACCGCGATGGCATACTTTAGTATTCATAGAATAACAACAGGACTAACGCAATACAACTTCATGCTTCACTTCACCCAAACTGTATGTTTACACTGTAAGAAAACTTAGTCACTAGAGCTCTAGAAATCTATGGTTTTATGATGAGAAAGCGTATCATCAATTCTATGGTAAAAAATGATAATCGAAGCATCAATCTGTTATCGAAAGCTCACCTGTTTCGTTCTTCATAGCGATTTGCAGATTTAACGACCTTATTGCATTCGCTGATCCTACGCATGCCTCTTGATTGTATACCATTCCATGGAATTTTCCCATCATGACATTTTTCTTGTACTGCAAAATACCTTCTTTGTGACTTTTCAGCTTCTCTTCAATCAGTTTCACGTCTTCCAAGTTTTCAGGCTTCAATCTCTTCAGCATGGAAGACAAATGTCTACCACCATTGCAGATCGCTTGTTTGTAACAAAAAAATGTTGGCCCCATCATCCAGTGTCCGGTGTAATAGTTCATGTCATAGGGCTGACCGAACACTGTCTTAAGAAAATGCTTGAGCTGTGATAGAGCTTTCCTCTCCCGAGGTTTAAGCTTGTTAGTATCTACTTTTGTTTCGTTGACCTCTTTTAGTAGCTCCCGAGCAGCGTCGGTGACATTTTTAATGTATTCTGGTTTTGGGTTGTAAGCTGTGTACATCTTCTTGATCTCGTCTCGGGTCGCTTCAGGATCATTCGGCATCTGGAAGGGGTTATTCTTGTAATAGCTCTTCTTCGCACGCTGCAGAATCTCGTTCAGCCCAATCCGTTTGGCTTCCTCGGAGTATTCACAAAAAGATGTTAAGGTCTGCTCGCCCGGTCGCCCAGGATGCTTTCCTTCTTTTTCATGATCATCGCAACCTTTCCTTTTGGACGCCAGAGCAATCAGCACAATTCCTATGATTAGAAACACGACTGCAACGACGACAAGGACGATGAAAATGATCCTACTCTTTGAAATCGTAGATGACTTATTCCCACGGAATTTTAGGTTGTCCTCAGCCATCATGCGGCTAGCCTCATCTGGTTTACCTGACATGGCTTTTCAGAGGTTTGTGCTTGAGTTTTGGTAAGCAAAAAGAAAAAAAATATTACAGTAGTCTCTGTGTTGCGTGTTCGTTCAAAGTTCTGTCTCGTTTAACCAACACCCTGAATTAGGTACAATTAAGTCATTCGACCGGGAGACGTACAGTCACTCGAGTCAACAAAATTTGCATTTTTCCGGACCAGTCAACTTTAACACTGAAGGTTTCCTTTCGCTAACAAAAAATGGGGTAGATAGGATAGAACAGAACCAGAAGGAAAGCATCTATGAACCAGAAGAAGAAAGTGCGACGACGTTAGAATCTTATTACTCCGAAAACCGTGTGCATGAGTGTCAAACAGGGAAGAAACAGACGTATTTCTAAACTGCCGGAATGGCGTATTATTCTCTCTTAGACTGCATTCAAATTGTAATCAGCAAGCAAATAGGTTTTTCCCATTGTCTATTAGCACCTACTAGATACTGAACAAGCTTGGGGACATGGTCCAACAGATGTTATGCGGATATTGTTCTTTATCATTTAATAAAGTAGAGGCAGAACTGTAGATTATGATTATTCAAATAGTGTCTAAGACGATACTATTTGAATAATCACAATAATCTTAATAGAATGTCAAGAAAGCGTTGCGCGAATCAAAGTTTTAGTGGTACCAGGAGGTTATTAACAGTTTTAAAATAAGAACTTGTCTTATCTAGCCACGATTATGTCCGGAACAGCGACTACAATGGATGAATTGATACCTAAACTTTTGTTGGTAGAAAAGGAAGAAATTGCCTTGCATCAATATTGTATCGAACTGAAATTTAAAAAAACTCAGGCATGTCATGGCATGGGTCACCTCATAATTTACATAATTTGGCGAAGTGCCATTTGAATGTTTTGATCAGTCGTCATAAAACTTGGCAAACAGTTTTATCTCGGTAGCCTGAACAATATGTGAGGTATTCATTGTTGAAATATTAGTCACGTGACCTGCAAATGATCGTTAACGGTCAAAGTGTTCAGATTAAAACGAGAGAAAGGAAATAAAAGAGCAGCAAATATTCCTAGGCAGCAGTGTTTTTCTTATGGCCTGGATATATTATTATGAATTAAATAGCCCAGCATGTATGCCTAAGTGGAGCAATGATTACGAAATAAAGAAAAACAGGTCTTCACTGTTGCATCGCAATGACCTTTGGTCTCCGAACACCGATTTTATTCATCAAAAGATAAAAGTACATATTTTTTGTTACAAATAAGTGTAAGAAATTTAACCGTAAAAAGTGTAAAAACGTAAAAAGTAAGAATTAAAAATCTAGTATATTACGTAGCTAATTCATATTTAAAATTGAAACGGTTAATAAAAGAGTTTTTAAAACGCATAGTGTTAATCTTAGGTTTTAAACAAGTTTATTTCCTAAGATTATAGTTGTACGGTTTGACACGAGGAGCAACGAGGCATTATAGATAAAATTGGATGTCCTTTAGTGTCAGAAACTTTTCTGAAAATTTTACGGTCTTAACCTTTGTGATAAGCATCATTATCATTGTTCTTCTTTTAGTTTTGTTTGGAAGGGTAGATATTTTTATACTTGTTTCAGTGTATTGTGTGTTATTGCGTTTCATAAAGTTTATGTCGCGATGTAGTGGATCGATCGGAGATTGTGCATTTTCAGCAAGTTTTGTAAGGGAGAGTCCTGGTGTTACAGGGGTACCCAACGTCAATTTTCTGAAAATATCTGTTCGGAAGACGATTTGAGATCTAGGATTTTTTGAACATTTGTTGTAAAATTTCTTGCTTGCCTGCCTCTCCTAAGATTTTCGAGCATCTAAAAAATGGTATAATTGCCCATTTTTAACGGATTTTTACCCTAAAAAGGTCACCTAGAATTTTCGGGAGCCTTTTTTCTGGCTGAAATTTTTGAAAACGTAAGTTTTGATCCCTATAACTTTCGGATCACTAGACTTTCAGCTAGGAAATCCGAACAGGTAAAACATTTTTAGGGGATAAAAATATGCCCATATCCGGCTACCGTTTTAATACTAAAATGCGTTTAACAATGCTATGTTTAAGTGGTTTTGAACTATATTCTCGTTGGGTGCCCCTGATGTTAGTCAAGTTGCTGGAGAACGTGTGGAGTACATAAAGAAGGTGTACGTTGTTGCCGAGGAAATAAAGGAAGTGGAACTGAGATCTCGTCGTGCGCAATTTATTTATGACAGAAATTAGTAAAGGTAATAGCATGATCTGTAGCGATATTTGGCACAAATACCACAAGTGATATTTCGAAATTGAGAAATTTGAGACAATTTTGAAATATCATAGTGGTATTTATGCCAAATTACGTACAAACCATACTATTATTTGTTTATTTTTGGTTTTCACAAGACGTCACTAATATTCAAACTACAAAACTATTGATCTTACGGAGATTTTACTTTCATGGTGTATTAGAGCAGCTGAAAACTAATTTTCAAACAAATTTTCGCTTCAAAAGGGCTCTTGGTTTTGTTGAATTTCTAAGCTTTTGCGTGACACAACATGTCCATGAGTGACTAGCTGCTGTTTCTCTTCTGGGATAACTTTAAAAATCGTTGCTTTTTAGTTTGAGGCTTCGTGTTGGTGTTCTTATGTTCACACACGAAAAAGAACTGAATTCAGTTCAGTCTCGAAACTCTTTCCATCATGCTTTGATCACGAGCTGTAATGTATCACGATTTGATTTTAGTCAAGGCCATGTGACCAAGAATCAACCAATGGCAATCCCTCTTTAGTTGAGCGAAAGTCTAGGAATACAACATTACATTTTGTGTAAGGCTCGTTACAAATTTAAGCGAGAAATTAAAAACTGCGGATGAGGTACGGGAGCCTCAGTACTGCATTGGGTCAGTAAACCCGCAGCAAATCCGCATTGTCTTCTAATTCTCTTTTGTAACTGGAATGTATTCAAATGTTTGACCCCTGGTGAAACTATCAAAACAACTGTATCAAAATAAATGTTACTGATAGCATTAATGTCACGAAACGTCCATATCCACGAAATCCATCAGCTTTAACTTTTATCATTTGCGTTACTTTTGCATTGTGCAACTGATTATCGAAACCAACTGTAGCCTGATCATCATCGGAGAGAGTAGCCATGTCGACGTCGGCCAAACCTGTGGAGCGACATGAAATGATGGCCGAGGAGTGGATACAATTCGAGCAGAACAAGTCAATGTTTTCCAAGTTCAGAATTCTTACAATTCTTCTCGCTGTGATTGCCGTTGTTGTTCTTATCGTGGGAATTGTGCTGATAGCGCTAGCAGCCAAGAGTGAAAAGAAAGATTGTCAAGATTGCAAAGAAACGAAAGAGGAGAAAGAACCTGGAAGCAGTGGCGGGCAAACCTCTACATCTTTTTGTGAATACTCGGAGGAGGCCAAACGGATCGGGCTGCAAGACATTCTGCTGCGTGCGAAGAAGAGCTATTATGAGAATAACCCCTTCCAGGTACCAACTGATCCTGAGGCGACTCGAGATGAGATCAAGAAGATGTACACAGCTTACAACCCAAAACCAGAATACATTAAAAATGTCACCGACGCTGCTCGGGAGCTACTAAAAGAGGTCAACGAAACAAAAGTAGATACTAACAAGCTTAAACCTCGGGAGAGGAAAGCTCTATCACAGCTCAGGCATTTTCTTAAGACAGTGTTCGGTCAGCCCTATGACATGAACTATTACACTGGACACTGGATGATGGGGCCAACATTTTTTTGTTACAAACAAGCGATCTGCAATGGTGGCAAACATTTGTCTTCCATGCTGAAGAGACTGAAGCCTGGAGACTTGGAAGACGTGGAACTGATTGAAGAGAAGCTGAAAAGTCACAAAGAAGGTATTTTGCAGTACAAGAAAAATATAATGATGGGAAAATTCCATGGAATGGTATACAATCAAGAGGCATGCGTCGGATCACGTAATGCAATAAGAGGATTTTATCTAAATATCGCTTTAAAGAACGAAACAGGTTTGTTCTTGATCTTGGTTAATAACTCTATTATTGTCTCCAGAATTAAATGGTATTCTTCAAACACGCCACGGAATTTATGACAACCGGTTACAGCGGGTTAACTGATAGTCCTAATAGCTCTTTGAACCTTTTACTTCCAGAGAGAGCGATAACAAGTTTTGTATAAAGGCGATTTTCAGTTTTGAGACTGTGGATGAAACCCGGGGGATGAAATCCCATGGCGTGACAATTCAAATCAAACCTCTTTGACAGATAGAGCTATTTATTTTTGCAAATTAAAACATTCGATTATAACACGTATTTTAAAACAAAAAGTCTAACGTAAGTGACAGAGATAAGAAATCTGTCCGTCAGAGACACACAGAGACACAACGGGGTCATAAGGATGTGGGCGTATTTAAAGGCTGGGTGGCCGTATTTAGCAGGGAAGGGTCAAATTTGATGGCCGGTATCTTCGAGTAACGCCATGACAGTATTTTGAAACAACTTGAGGCCATTTTAGGAGCGAAAGACACGACATTTGACAGACATTTTTTGTTTGCCTCACAGTTCCCCTTCTCAGTTGGTTTGAGTGGTCGTTTTCAAACTTGGTGAAATGGCCAAGAAATATGCCGGTTGGTCACTGCAATGTGGCTGCAAAGTAATGCTATAGGGCTTTCTCATAACCAAGTGTACGGCATTTTTTTGCTGGAACCAACCAAAGTGGCCCATCATTATTATCACTACACGCGGCCAATTGACAAACTGCCATCTCTGAAACGCTCCTTTTCGCGAGCCAAACTGCAAAGTGCGGGCTGTAAATGGAATTTGCAGCCCGCAACATGATTTGTATTATTTGCCCTTGTCTATTGATAGTAATGATAATCACATGACTTTTGTCGGGCATATAGTTTATCTGTGTCCCCCGTAGCATCATTGCACCCTAGCTCCGCTCGGGCGCAAATGATGCTACTCAGGCCGAGAGTAAACTATATGCCCTCCAAAAGTCATGTGATTATCTTATTTACACCTACTTGAACTGCAATAGCGTTCATAGAAAAATGAAAAACAGGCAACTGGAAAAAGTTAATTAAATAGGAGCAAAGTAGGCACGCTCACTACATTCAGGGATCTTTTCTAACGAGAGAAAGAAGGCGAAACATCTTAATTAACAGTTTCCAATTTACTTTCTTTCGAATTAAGTGATGTGAAAATGTATTACTACGGCTGTCTTGAAAAAGTTTTTCGTTTTGTTTTTACTTTTTTGTACCTCGATGACGTTTTTGCAATAACTGTCTTGGATGTCAAATTAAGCGTAAGGAGAATTGCTCAACTTATTTAGCAGCCTAAACTATGATGGAAACAAAGTTGACTGTTACAGCCGGTTCAGTACCAGTCTCGTAAACGGAAACATTGTTGGTCCATATTTATTGTTCTTTGCACCGGCAGTTGTCGCGTGCGTCTTTCAGTTGCTGATCATAACTAGTTCTCAATACCTACTTCTCAGTCCAGATCTACACTTTAATGATGATTAAGCTATAGCCTTCGAAAGCAGGGGCGGGGACAAGTCGGGGTTGAGAGAAGCGAAGACCAGAAATACGTCTGGGTTGGCAGGTCAGGCTAGGGCTGAAAATGTCAAGTTTAGAATATCTGTAGGATGGCCATTTCCTCATGTTCCTTATTTACAGGTGTTTTGGAAGAGAGTTACGTGCGAGAAGTCCTCGACGGCGATTATTTCTCCAATATCACAGAAGAAATGAATACAACATGGAAAAAACTTCGTGGTAAATCTGTCAAGGAATCTCTAAATGAATATCTCGTGGAAAATGTGGGGAAACCGATGAGTCAGTTGTTGAGGTAATAATGTGATATAAAAAAGACGTAAAAAGCGTAACTCAATCTTGTGGCTTGCACGTTCGCTAGCGTTTCCTTAAGCCTTTTACTTTTATATTGGCCATTTTCAGGGGCACCCAGCGGGAATTTTGAGAAAAAAAACTTGAAAACAACAACAGAGCATGAATAAAGCTTTCTGAAGCCTTTTTAAGCATTTTGGAAGATTTCTGGTAAAAATTTATCTACTCGCCACTCCCAGCAAGGCTGGTGGAAGAGTTCCCAGCCAGCAAGGTGCACCTACAACCTGCAACCTGACTTACTGGGAAGTTCCCCAGCAGACGCATGTCTAGACCATTACTGGCTAGTTTGGGTGTGGTCATAGGGCAAAATTCAGCCCTTCCGTTGGGGAGGAGGGGGGGGGGGAGACGATAAGAAATTGGGTGGGGACAGATGTTTCTGACAAATAGCACACAGCAGCTATTCCACACATCAAATCCCCTCAGACACCCTGCATTGTCTATTTCCCAGGAACACTTTCCTTCCAAGGACATACTATTTTTTCCAAATCTCCCAGCCAGCAAAAATTGGCCTGTAGAACAGACTGAGGAACAGATGCAATGGGTGCCGCTGCATTGCCAAGACTCACGATTTTGTCGTTTGTCGCTCACGATTTCACGACCCATCACGCTCTCACGCTTACTCGAAAACTAACCGTCCAAAAAAGTTTTAGAACTTCTGTAGGGTTCGCTTTTAAGGTTCGGTAGCAAACTCAAAAGCGGAGAAATATTTTGAATAAAAACTTGATAAGGTGGATTAGCTGCCGTCTCAAAATCTGCCATCCTGTTGCATGAATTCTAGCTTACATATAAAAAGGCATTAAGAACTCTAAGAGGAAAACGCAACTAAAAAAAAAGCTTTGTGTGGGTTCTTAAACAAGCAATAGTCAGAAGGCAATAATGAGTACAATCAAACCCCGCTTTACGGACACCCGCTTAATACGCACACCTCATTACGGACAGTTTGATTCGTACCTCGGGAAAGAAAGCCCTTACAGTTTTCCGCCTAAATTCAATCAGCTTAATATGGATCGCCCTGTTTAAGAGAATCCGGATTCCTGATTTTTCTTGTGGAATCCGGAATCCTGGGCTTTGGAATCCGGAAAACAGCGCAAGGAATCCGGAATCCTACTAAGGATTTGAATCCAGAATCCAAGTTCTACCGACAAAGACTGGAATCAAGTACAGTGTACCTGAAATCTAAGACTGTCTTGGATTCCCTTATATAGGGCGAATATGGACACTTTCTATGGCCCCTTAGTGTCCGTATTAAAGGAGTTTGACTGTAATTAAGGACTTTGCTGCCTTTCTCGCAGATATCTCGAGCATGACCATTACCGCCATTGCGTACCAAGTAACGTGTCCAGCGGATTAGCCACCCTGCCATTGGATCATGTCTGGGTTGATGGCAAAGAAAATAAGTCTTGGCCTACCAACAAAAAGCTACCGACTGGCGAAATGTTGGACGGTAAAATGGCGTACTCCGAGATAATGGCATTTTTCACTACGAATGAAATGACGCCGGATTATGTTAACAAATTAGGAAAAGAGCAGTTGAAAAAGCTTTATCCACAGGTGAGCACTCAGATAAGGGTATTTATTAAAGAAAGGACCACAAAAGTGTTTGATTCCTAACCTGTTGTCCTTTCTTTTTAAACGGGAGAATTCAAGAAACTCGGCCTTCTTGTTCTGCACTTCTTTGTTCAACCAGATAAAAAGATGAATCTTGTACACAGTTCTCCCCTCTGATTGTAAGTTTTTGGAGGACTGGGTACGAGATTGACGAACTAAAGGTGCGTTGTGGGAAATATAACGTTCTAAGTCTGTGTAGCAACATCGTCATTATATACAACAATGGTCACCGCAGTTGCATTATATTAAGTTTATTTGAAGTTTTTGATAACCAGTTATGTCATAATTCGCAGTTGTCATAGTATCGTAATAACATCATTATGCATTTTTCTTGCAACTAATATTTCGGGAGAGTATAGCCATAAACACACGACGGCTAATACGGTATTTGTAAGCCCTTTATCTGAACGTTGGACGTCGTCTATGAAATGTTAATGATCAGAAACAACACACCATGGACGTTTGTGAAGTTCAAGGATATAGGGCACGCTCAGCCAGTCCCTGACCATTCGAGATGCATTAGATGAAAGGAAGGCCCGTAAGCTGCCGTAGAAGACAGCAAAATTATTTTCCTAGACGTCTACTTTTTTCTCTTCCACCTTCTGTCCCGTAATCTCGTGGGAACGTAAGCCGCAACCCTTGCACTCGCTGTACCATCTATTAGAAATCTCCAAAAAATATATGCCGTTAATTAACTTCGTGGTACAAGAATGGAAGGCGATTGCAGACGATATACAGTAAACTGCCGTTTATAAGTCCCTCGGAAGGGATTTTAGAAGGGCTTACAAAAGCAGGGGCTTAAAACCGGATAGAAAAAGCGCTTTGAAACAAGCTATAGCAGTGCTGTTCAAAATGACGCTTTCAAGCTTTTTAAAAAACGTCATGACAAATCGAATTCTTTTCAGTGCATTTGGAGGAGGCCTTATATCCGGTGGGGGCTTACAGTGGGATTTTAAATTTTTTTGTTGTTGTTTACAGGTAGATGGGCCCATAACTAGGGGTGGAGGCTAGAGGCAGTTAACGGTATCAAACCAACTAACAAGAAACAACAAAAGAAATGCTTACCCTGACTATGACAGTATAACAGTTGTTGGGTTTAATTCATGTGAGTTATTTGCATGTTCTTTATATTTAGGCAAAGGAAATTGCTAAGAAAGTTACTGGCAAAAACAACGAAAGTGAAGCCATCAAAGATTTCAGAAGCAAGTTAGATTCTCCCGATAATTTCTTCAATAAAGACCCGTTTCCTGACAATGAGTCAGATGCTCAAGCGCATGTGCGATGCAGCACTATCGAGGGAGCCAAGAAATATTGTCCCATGAGATGGAAGGCTCTGCAAGAATGGTTCAAAGAAGCTAGAATGGTAAGCTTATTTGTTTGTTTTGTCAGACGCGGACGTACAGGTAGAGAGAAACGACGACGCAAGATAGAAATGATTTTCTGCCGTCAATGATAACTATAATGCCATTGAGAATTTCGACTTTTAGTCTTGAATAGCACTGGAAAAAAATATCCTCTTTCTAACGTTACGTCTGCCATTAAGTCAAGCGCGGCCGGGCGCAACGACTTCATAAGGTCCCGGGTACAGCTGTTCATTGCCAAGGAAACCTAGACTACTAGTAGTCCCCCATTTGTCCTCTGGGATAGTAGAGTGAGCGAAACGCGAGCGCGCGTGAAAATCACCCCACGCGAGAAAAGGCGACATATCTTTTCTGCCCACCGCGTCTCGCCTTTCTCGCGTGGTGATTTTCACGCGCGCCCGCGTTTCGCTCACTCTACTATCCCTGAGGAAAAATGGGGGACTACTCGTAGTTTAAGGAAACCCGCACTAGAAAGGAAAAAGGAAGGGGCTTCAGGCGAATCTGCGTTTACCATTTTTATCTTAAGCTTTGAAAAACATTAGCGTTGAATTAGAATAATGCAAAGCGAAATGGGCTTTCTCAGAAAATTTGAGTGGGAAAAACAAGACTGTTTCTGAGTGATGATGTCAGTCACAGTCAACCAATCCAGAATTATAGCCCAAAAGTAGAAAAGAATGCAAGCCAAGAAATTAAAGTGACTGTCATAAAATGAAAGAAGACTCCTGCCAAAATCTAGCCTCCCACGCAGGCGTTTTTAGGGGAGCTCGTTTTTCATCCCTCCCCACAAAGGGATGAAAAACGAGCTCCCAAAAGAACGCCCTCGTGGGAGGCTAGCCAAAAACATAATAGCTCGTAAACGTCCCATAATAGCCCGTAAACGTCCCCGCGCCTCTAAAAGTCTTCTACACTACGACGACTATGACGTCATTTACTAATTTGAGACAAGAGAACATAATAAGCAAGGCCATCAAATGCTCTTTCTAGCTCCTTCCGCCGCGAAATAATCTAGCCCCTGCAAGGACGTGCGGACAGACGCACTGCACTCTTACAGTATTTGCATCAGGTTACTGCGACGCAAAGGCTTAAAATTAGTCTCATCACAATACTAATTGTATTGCATCACAATCCGTTGAGGTATCATTACGCTGTTTGGTATGAACCCCGGGGGGGGGGTACTTTAGGAATTTTTGGGTTGGGATGTGCCGCTGGGACCCTGGAACCCTTAACCTATACCAGAGCTAGTTCAGCTGAATTTTGCTACCCTTTACTAGAGTAAACTCCCCAAAACCCCCCTATCCTAGAGTAGTTGTTTTCCAGAAACTACTGCACAGTTTAGCCAAAATAAGTTGAGTTGCGTAAATTTCAACTTGCCGATTTGATTTTTTTATATGTTTGAGTGGTAATTCACGGTTTCCCTCTAGTCTAGATAAAATCTTCAACCAACTGATCAGTTTCCTGTAAAATGATACCCTATTCTCGACCCAACCGTTCTGATTTAGATACCCTATCCTAGAGTAAACTGCTCGAAAAACATACCCTTCACAGCGGCACATACCTATATAGCCCATATATGGCAGTACCCTCCCCGGGGTATGAACCATGCCGGAAGAGAGGTGAAGGTGTTTTTCCCAAAATGGTAAGGATTTTTTGGAAGAAGAACTCGACAGAGGACATGCCCTTTGCACACACAAATTCAGGATATCTTAAAACTATTGGCCCGTCAGTTTTATTTGACATGGTCATGGTAGAAACGAAGCTAACATTAACAGGCACAAATAAAAGAAATCAAAGACTTATTTGAAGACGGAGAATAAAGAGTGTATCCTAGCGATATTATAATAAAGTCTTAGTAAAGATGAATGCTTGTCGTACTAAGGTTTTATGTTCCTTTTTTTTCAGGCAATGAGCTTGCTGTATCCCAAAATAGTTGACATGTTCTACTTCGCTGGGGATAAACACTCGACACCTAACTGTCCAATAAAGTTACGCCCTAGCCTGAACCCGTCTAGTGGTATACAGAGTTATGACAACAGCGATCCAATGTGCTTAAAGCCTGCGTTTTATAATATTCCGTTCTTTTTGAGCAAGTTGGGTCCCAGGTTTTCTGAATGGAGTATCAATGCACATGAATCCCGGCCTGGACACCACATTCAGGTAAATATTTAAATAATCGGTAACAAACCTTATAAAGCTTCATCGATTAATTCTAGGGCTATTTTAAATTGCTTAAAAGAAATATAAAATTGTCTTCAGCAGTTGCTATTGGTGATTCACGGAATGAAGACTTTCTCTTTCATGCGGTTCTTCTACAAGCTCGCTGAGTTTGCAAGTGCTTGTTACTACCGAACATAACTATAGTAAAAGAATGAGTACAACAAAGCCACCCGTGGCCTTGCTTCCCGACTTAGCGTGTTTTTGTTTCTCGACAGATAGAGCACTACGGCCCGAGACTCGAGCGATATGGCCGCTGCTAACATATGCTGTCTATACTTCTACACAAAATAGAAGCTTTTCTCTTTTTATTGATCCAATGACCCGGACGATGATGCGCTGAAAGGGGATCCCGAATGTGTTTACACTAGCTCCACATTGATCCCGACACGTACGGACACCCGGCCCGAGCCGAGGTGGCTTCAAAAATTCTTAAACGCATAAAAATTTAAGACCCATTGATCCCTGTGCTCGCGAGGATGCGATTATTCAGTTTTCTGTCACTGCAAGGCAGTTCCATTTATGATTTTTGGGTTGAAGTAATGCTAGCGCTGTGATTGGTCAGTTACCATTTACTATTTGCCCATGGGTGATCATGAATGCTTACGAGGAACAGCGCGCGGTTAAAGCAGTAGGCGACTATGTATTTCTTTACCTCATCGTTTGCAAAGGTTCTCGACTTGATACTGAGGGAAGGTTTAGGAAAGTCGTTTAAAAGAACATAAAAAGGGTTTACAATCCACATGGAGAAGGAAAACTAATCACTCAGCGAAATGATTTTTTTGAAAGACCTTTTGCAAATATAAAAGTTTTTACTCCTTTGATTATGTTATGAAGCAAATGGAAAATGGTTCAGCGTGTACTATGAGTAATGGTTCCACTTGGGAGGGTTGCTAAGCTCTCAAGAAGCAAGAGTCTCTTGAGGCGATAGCCTCTTATTTCTTGCTTAGCAACCTCCCGCGCACAACTATAACTCAAAATACGATGTTTAAAATATGATATGATATGTGATATGATATATGATGTGATGTGTTGTGATATATGGTATGATCGATATAATGTACGATACACTGGAATCTCGATATAACGTATGACCAAGGTACTGGCAAAATTTGTTCGCTATAACTAGGTTTCGTTATATCGAAGTTCTTTTTCATATATTTTACTTTGACTGGGGCAAAGAAAATCGTTCGCTATGCCGAGGACTTCGTTATATCGAGGTTCCACTGTATGATATGAATTGATGTGACGTGGTGTGGTGCAATGTAATGTGATGTATAACGATATGACGTGACGTCTTGTATTGTGATGTGATATGATTTATGGTATAGTTGATTGGATTTAGATCCAAGGAGCTACGGAACATTTTAAGGATACCTGTGGCGGTGTAATTGGTTGGTTGGATTCCAAGACATCTTACACAGCATTCACAGAAGGCTGGGCTCTGTACGCTGAAAATCCACTGATTTCAGATGACACAGATGTTTATGAAAACGAACCAATGCAAAAATACGGCATGTTGAAGTGGCAGGCAAGTCATGTTGAAATGAGAAAACAATAAGGAAGGCTTTACGGTTTTGAAATTGTATGCTTGGCTCCAGTTCTCTATTGAGACTCAAGTCCTTTTATATCCTTCTAAATAGATAAAAATAAATTTCTTTTATTTACTCTCGGGGTATTTATAGTATTAATGCTAGTCGGGCAGAGCAAATTCTTCAGACAAATAAATTAAATCGAGAATTCCAACTGGCCGGAAGCGAACCATTTGGTCTTTACAAGCGTGGTAGAGGATTTGAACTCGCGATCCAGCTAGCGGTCAGAGAGGGAATTGAACTCAGGGCCACCGAATTGCAAGTCCAGCGCTCTAACCACTCGTCCACGCTACCTATATTATATTTGTCCTATAATCACCTCAAATGATAGTTGTTTTATATTTAATTTATTTTAAAGAGAGAGAACAAGATGAAGTTGGGGAAGGGGAAATGTATCTGATAAAAAAATTGTAATTGTAAAATTGTAAAATGTAATTGTAAAATTGAAACGAAAAAAACGTTGCCATTTTTGGTGAATTCTAGCCATTTATTCCTTCCAAACACTTTCTATGATTTCTTTATAATTAGATATGGAGGGCGGTACGGTTGATTGTAGACACAGGCCTGCATTATAAAGGGATGAAGAGAGACGAAGCTATCAAAATGTTTGGAGACTATGCTTGGGATGATTCAGACTTCACGCAGAAAGAGGTAGGAACAGTTATCTAGTTGTGATGATGATTGTTGTGATAGTATGATGGTGGTGATTATGGACGTGTTGATGGCGGTGGTGATGTTTAATGATGGTGGTGAGGGATGGTGGCGACGATAAGAATGAGAATGATGATGGTAATGAAAATGGTAGTGAAGTTGATAAAGGATGGTGATGATGTTGGTAGTTATGATGGTGGCAGCGATGGTGATGATGATGATAATAACCACGGTGCTGATGATGGTGATGGTTTTGATTGTAATGATGGTGATGGATGATGACGATAACAAAGATGTTAACGTTGAAGACTATGACGATAACTATTAACTTGACGATATATGATTCAGCAAAAAAGTAGAAAGTTTTCAGTTATGCTAGTAGTTACTTTGTGTACCAACCATTGCATGACCAGTCAATTAGGCAAAAAATCCTTTTACGAAACGTCGTTATATTGGTGATTTAGGCATGTTTTGACAAGATAGTTCTTTGCCAAGTAAAGCCACAAATGATCCTGATGACGACGATAACCGTGATAGTGATGATGATAAAAATGATGATGACAACGGATGCTGGTGCATTAACAATGTGTTGGCGGCCATGAATGATGGCAATTATCGAGGATAAAATGATGATGTCAATGTTGACAGTTTAGAGACCTTGCACAGGTTCAAATCTATTCGTACCTACTGTTAATACGTCATTTCCTTATTTATCAGGTTACTCGTTACCAGGGCTGGCCGGGACAGGCAACAGCCTACATGGTTGGAAGGCTAGGAATTCTACAAGCTAGAGAGTATGCAACCAAGGCATTGGGAGAAAAATTTAGTCTCAAGGATTTCCATTACCAGGTAGATTGATCGGTAGTATTTTAGGATTTGACACCCACTCACTCAAAGATCAGTATCCGCCAGGCCACTGGCGTTCACAACGTACGTCGCGATCACGTTCAGTTTTTACGTAGGTGCATCACGTTGCAACCTTTTTTTTTCTTTTTTTTCTTCATATCCCGAGGTTTTGTCACAAGGATCTTCACCTCTTGCTTTCCTCGACGAACACATTAAGAATTATGTCGAGTGCGTGAAGAAACCAGACAAAGAAGGTTGTTCCAGTATTCTGAATCCTCCTGAGAGAACCTCATCCAAGAGTGGCGATAAGAAACTTGGAAAACAGTTTTATTTTGAAACAAACAGACATTATGCTTAATATAAGATGATTTAAAATTGCCCTGAGAATACCTCTGAGAAAGAATTTCCGTTTTATTCTGACAGGAGCTGAAGCTATGACCTTCTAACTGGGAGACAGCAACAGTTTCTGTAGACCTCTTTAACGTTTTAGTTTTTTTCTTTTATTTCCATAATGTTGTGAAACCTCGAGTATAACGAACCTGCGGTCTAACGAATGAATTTTTTTTGCTCCAGTTATTTAAATAGTAAAATGTATGGGACAGGACTAGGACCCCACTAAAGAGTCGCTCTAACGTGCCTCCGTTGTTATGATTTGCCAGTCACTAAGTCCATTAATCCCCCAAGTTCGAATGAGAGAGTGCAACCCCATGAACAGTCGTTAATGCGACCACTGTTGGCCCATAAAATCCTGGTCTTATATAACGAGATGGTATCAACGGGATCTTCAAAATAAGAAAATGACCAGTGTTTCTTATGTTTGGGTCGAACGATTGTGGTCAAGATAACGAGGTGGTCATAAAGGGGGTGGTCTAAGGCCGGTTTCCACTGCAGTTACTATTACATGAGAAATTTCTGCAATTTGATTGGCTTAGAGCAGTGGTATTTCAACTTAATTTGAAATACCTACATGTGAAAATTACAAACCTTCTGCGGGTAGTAGTATGCATGATTTGTACGTGATATTTGGCATAAATACCACTAGTGATATTTCAAAATTGTCTCAAATTTAGATTACGAGTAGTCCCCCATTTTTCCTCAGGGATAGTAGAGCGAGCAAAATGCGAGCACGCGAGGAAAGGCGACACGCGGCGGGGAGAGAGAAACGGCTCGTGAAATTACGTATAACAATTTCGAAATATCGCTCGTGGTATTTATGCTAAATATCACTACAAATCTAATCTATAATAAATCTTACCTATACTAACCTTGACCCACACAAGGAAACAAACACGAACTTACAAGATAAGATAGATCTTAAAAATCTTCACAATACTGAGATGACAAAGATTGTTGGCCTAGATTTGGAGTGTGTTGTCTTTAAACTGCTCAGTTTAACATAAAAATTTCCAAATGCATCATAGCCGCCTTGACGTAGCTGTTTTGATCAGAATTTTCACGTTCACTCCTTTGCACGGAACGCCGGCTTTAGGTCCTTTAGCATTCTTACTAAAGCCTAAGTTCTGATATGATTCAGGAGTTCTCGTTTCATTTAACTGTAATCAGTTTCTTCGAGTAAACTAAGTAACTGGGGGTATTAAATGAACGGTCTGCACGGTAGATTGAACTAAAGCTTTTAGTGATTTCGATGTAATTGCAGTGCAGCCAATATCACCCAAACAGCTCTTGGCTTACATGCAACCGCTCACGCCCTTGACATGCAAGGCCCGAAGCAGCTATTCCTCTTTCGAGAGCTTCCTTGCAACTGTCCTTGGAATTAAGGTGATTAATATTTTGAAAGTTCAGCCCCTTTACTCATTTTCAACCTCAACACAGACAAAAATAATATCAAACAGGAAAAATGCAAATAGCTGAAAATCTTTGCAGTTATTTGGTAAACGTCACTGTACAATTAAATAAACAATGGAGTTATTCAAATATTATTCGTAGATAAGAATGCAATCGCTTTTGTCACGCTTTAGGCGTTGATCTGAAGTAACACGTATTTCCATTAACTGTACCAAAACCAAAACTTTTCAAAACCTCGTTCAAAGTTTGTGTAAGATTCAGGTTGTCAGAGATGACGAATAAACATGGAGAAACTAACCAAATGATGGCCGAAGAGAGTTTAAAGTTCCAAGGCAACAAGTTTTCCAAGCCTAGGATTTTGTTGATCATACTCGCTGTGATTGTTCTTATCGTGTTAGTGGTGGGAATTGTGCTAATAGCCTTGTCAGCTAAAAAGAAAGATTGCGATGGAAAAGAGGAGAAACGTCCTGGGAGCCCTGGAGGGCAGACTTCTTCAGCTTTTTGTGAATACTCTGAGGAGGCCAAACGGATCGGGCTGGACGACATTCTGCTTCGCGCGAAGAAGAGCTATTACGAAAACTTTCCTTTTCAGTTGCCGAATGACCCTGATGCGACTCGAGATGAGATCAAGAAGGGGTATAAAGTCTACAACCCTACGCCAGAATACATTAAAAAAGTCACGGACGCAGCAAGGAAACTATTTAAAGAGGTTAACGAAACGAAAGTGGACTCTGATAAGCTGAAACCCCGGGAGAGGAAGGCGTTAGCACAACTCAAGCACTATCTCAAGACGGTATTCGGTCAACCGATGGATATGAACTATTATAGCGGACATTGGATGACAAAGCCAACATATCCTTCACAGATATTTAACGTTGGCAAACATTTAAATGCTCTATTGAATTTGTTTAAGCCTGAGAATTTGCAAGACGTGACCATGATAGAGAAAAAGTTGATGGCTCACAAGCAGGGGATTCTGAGGTACGCGGAAAATTTACGAATGGGCGTGACGCACGGGATGGTGTACAGCCAAGAGGCTTGCTTCGCGTCACTGTCCATCATGAAAAGCTTTTATCTCAACATTGCTCTAAAGAACGCGACAGGTAAGTCTTAAATTCACCAACTTTGTTTTTCCGCTAGGATACTATGCACTTGATACCAACCATACAAATGTTGTCATTAAATAGAGTGCAAACAACTGCCTAATTTGGGATCGGAACAATGTCGGAAGTCGGGCGACGGCCGGGATAAAAAGGTGGCCCTGTAAAGAGGTCACCGATGACTGAAGCGAGGTGGTCAGCAGAGCTCAAGTAACAATTCAGGGTACAAACTCTCGCAAATGGTGAAGACCGTCACTGGCAATCTGATGGAAGGAAAGCGTTGTTTGTTCGTTTGGTAACGCGTCACAGAATAAGTGAAGTCCGCCATGCATAAAAATCGCCAATACCGTAATACCGATACATTTTTTTAATGCAGGTGTCTTGCAGGAGAGGTATATCACAAGTGTCCTGAACGATGCTTACTTTTCCAGTATCACAGAAGACATGAATACCACGTGGAAAAATAAAAATGGTGGTAAATCTGTTAAGGAAACTTTCGATGAGTATATTGTGAAATACATGGGGGAACCAATGAAAGAACTACTGAGGTATAACTCCTGCTGAGGGATACTTTCATTATATACAGGGCTTTTCTGGGCTATGGTGCTCAAAAGGGTATACCCCCTCCTCCTAATTCTAGAACAGGGTACGAAAATCTGAGAGACACTCCTATTATATATAGGGCTACACTGGGTTATGCCGCTCGACAGGGTATACCCCCTCCTCTCAATTTTAGAACAGGGTATCAATATCTGAAAAACACTCTTATTATATATAGGGTTATACTGGGTTATTCCGCCCGTACCCTGGCCTCCCAATTCTAGAACAGGGTACGAAAATCTGGCAAAAGGTTTTAGCTAATTTATAATCTAGGACAAGATTTTTTCCAGTTTTTCCAGAATCCCCAAATGACTCACTATCATCTACCAGCTGCGTAAAATCCGCTCCCCGAATTAATTTTTTTCTTTTTCCAAACCACAGGAAAACATTTTAGCTTGCGATTTGTGTTTTTCTTATGCAAGCTAGCCTTTTCCTTTGTTTTGAACAGGGTGTAAATTTATTTTATTTATTTATTTTTTCCGTCTGAAACCTGTCCAGATTCTCAGAGACTCAGTAAAAAAAGAGTCCCCGGGATATTCACTTTTAACTGTAAAAGAGGTCACGTCCTGATGCTTCTGGAACTTTTCCCGGTTACATGTAGAAGCTGATAATGGACATTCGCAATTAATCATTCGTGTAACTTCGGTCTGTTAGTGTTAAAATTATTGTCATGAATACTCGGAGTTGCTGCCCTCGTGAAGGGAGATATTTTCTTTGTTGCTAGCTTTTTCTGGTGATTATTATGAACCTATGACAGGTTGTCGATTATGCTTTTTCTTTTTCTAAGGAACTGAACTGAAATGGCACTTCATCTTACAGCCTCCTTGAAGCGCGCGCATGCGCAAAACAGCGATCCTGTGGGCTAAAAAAGTTAACTTAGGGGATTCTATGAACTTTGTTGCTCAGTCAGAACGAGAGGTGGTGCGGATTTATGGAACTCGTGACTTAAGTCGATTTATTTTAGAAATACATCAGCTTTTCCAAGTGGATCGATCTACTTGTCCATTTTTGGTTGCCTAACGTAACATATTGACCTTGAGGTTTTGAACGTACAGTATTCGAATTTTGCAGTTATCTCGAGCATGACCATTACCGCCATTGCGTTCCAAGTAACGTGTCCAGCGGATTAGCCACCCTACCATTGGATCATGTCTGGGTTGATGGCAAAGAAAATAACTCTTGGCCTACCAACAAAAAGCTACCGACTGGTGAAACACTGGACGGTAAAATGGCCTATTCCGAGATCCTCCCATATTTTACAACCAATCAGATGACCCCTGACGACGTTCATAGGCTGGGTTTCAAGCAGCTGTATGAGCTATACCCACTGGTTAGTGCAAAGTAGATCGATCTTGCTGTAACTCACTATAAGGGCTATAATACTCGTCATAAATCTTAAAACACCTGTGTGATTTTCCCCTTCCCCAATGTTGATTTGGGTATTACAGTCGTCTCAGTGCTTCAAAATACACGTAGCTCAACATTGCATGGGGAAGGAGAGGGGCACATTTGAGTGAGCACAAATGTGAGAAGAGTAAATGTAAGACATTTTCCAAAAATTCAAGAAAAACGGTTTCTGTTTCCACGATTTGTGACGAGTATTGTAATACCGTGTGGAAACAGTTTGCGCTGTTATTGGTGACTGTGTGATCAGGTGACATATATGTACAAAAGGATGATGTCTGGTTTGTCAGGAAACAAGTTACAAGTTTAGTCCTGAGAAGCTCATGCATGCTTCCCAGGATTTCACCACGGCAACCAGCCAATAAAACACATAAAACGACATAAGACACTATAGAATTAGCATGCATGAAATGAAATGAAAGGATAACAGACGATCTTTACACTACACGTTATCATGTGAACAACAAACTCAGACGTCAGACGTCAGACGTTTCGTTTGTCCTTTCTCGATAGTTGCTTACCCGCTATCATTTTTGTTGGCCAAGAGGGTTTGGGGTGCACTAAATTCTGAATATTTGCTTCCGTCTTAGTGGACTCCAGTTCTCGCCCCTACCTATTCACTTCTGCTAGCAGTGTCGGATCCAGGGGAGGGGCCCGGCCTCCCCATATTTTAGGCCAAAATGAGGCCCGAATCGCCGAAAAAAGTTTTTTTGGGGGCTGGGCCACCCGCTTATCTCAGGGGCTGGATGAACGCCCCCCCCTCCCCCTATCTGAAGGTCTGGATCCGCCACTGGTTAGGTAGGTGGGTAGGTAGGTAGCAACTTTATTTAACGAGGGTAACACATGACAGTAAACACTGATGAACTAGTGGCCCTCACGCTACGGTCCGAATACCTGTTCCCACTACACCAAAGTGTGACAAGGAACCTATCTGATATGTAACGTTCTACCTTCGAGATCTGCACGGCGAAGGCGCGGCGCAGCTTCGCTCCGCTACAGAAATCGCGCCGAAATCACCGTTCTTATGGGTGAACAGATACCCTATCCGGTATGGTTATCGTGCCGGCGCAAAAGCTATCCCGTAGAGTCAGTGAGCGTAGCTTAAGAGACCAGTTAACGAGCTACACTTAGCTACCCCAACCACCAAGTGTAACAATTATCCAGTATCCAGTGGCAAGTGGTTAAAAAAAAAGCAATCAAACAAACCAATAAAACAAAAACCCAGGACATCAGGATTTTATATAGAAAACAAGCTATTTAGCCAGTCTAGACCAATTATTTATAACATCAATTCCGAATCAAGTGGAAATCTTAAGATAATAACAGTGTTTGTGGTTCTGGCCCCGTAAAAGCTGTCATTTCACGTTGTTTATCTGTAGGCCGTGAAAGCAGCTAAGAGCGTCACTGGGAAAGAAAATGAGACTGAAGCCATCAGAGAATTTCGGAGCAAGCTGGACTCACCGGATAATTACTTCAACAAAGACCCGTTTCCTGACAATGAGTCGGATGCTCAGGCACATGCGCGGTGCAGCACTATTGAGGGAGCCAAGAAATATTGTCCCATGCGATGGAAGGCTCTGCAAGAATGGTTTAAAGAGTCTAGAATGGTAAAAAGCTTAGACTGACTTTTAGCGGGTTGAGAACATAGAAAATTCGGTGGTGAATTGCAAGGAATTTTGCTGTGGAGAAACACTTTGATTTGAAAACGTAATGCCATCAGAGAAAATTAAAGGCCGGAAATGGCTTGAGGGAGCTCGAGGATGTCCTTAGAAATTCCTAAATTAGCTGATTTAATCGGCTGTTTTGTCAGCTAACAAACGAAATAGCGCACCATTAACAGAATCCCCTTGAGGCAAGTTGACTTTAATTTGTCTCTATAATTTTCAGGTGATGAGTATGCTCTATCCCAAAATAGTTGACATGTTCTACTTTGCTGGAGATAAACACTCGACACCTAACTGTCCAGTTGAGTTAAGGCCCAGCCTGAACCCTTCCAGCGGTATACAGAGTTACCAGGAAAGTGATTCCCTGTGCTCCAAGCCAGCGTACTATAACATCCCATTCTTCTTGGACAGATTCGGCCCCAAGTCTTCAGAGTGGAGTATAAACGCACATGAAGCTCGGCCTGGGCACCATATTCAGGTGAATAAGTGAAAACAAAAAAATTATTCGTTCAAAATATTTCAGCGCTTTTGGTTGGTTTAAATCCGCCTAGTAATGCTTCGCAACCAGCTAGCGTTGACAAAATTTGGAAGATGTTTACCTATACAATTGACGTCAATTGTACTGATATCGACAGGAAAAGGGACAGTAGAAGGCTCGGTAGCTGAGCTGTTTTGGCAGAGCTGAAGAAAAAGGCGCAAGATTTCGTATAGTCTGCTACAAAGCCGTTTTTAGTGTCGTCACGCAACGCT